CGCAACATTGGCTATGAGTCCCTAGCTCGACAGTGCAATATTTCTGGTAATACATATACCAACTCGGAAATAAAACACCTCATTGATACTATTGTGAGCAACCGTGAGCCGAGCGCTAGAGCTGGTTGTGCAATGGCTCTTGGGTGCATTCATTCCCAAGTCGGAGGTATGGCAGCAGGCTTTCACCTGAAGACGATATTGGGAATCTTGATGTCATTGTGCAATGATCCACATCCAACTGTTCATATCTGGGCACTCGAGTCACTATCACGTGTTGCGGAATCAGCTGGTTTAACATTTTCGGGTTATGTATCGAGTACACTTGGCATGCTGTGCCAATTGTATGTTTCGGATACACATAACGAGGAAATTTCTTCCCTGGCTACTTCAAATCTAGAATTGGACTTATCTACAACTGCTGTTATTGCACGTTGCATAGATTCTTTGGTCAATGTTCTTGGCCCTGATCTTCAAGACATGACCAAAGCTCGAGACTTGATACTTACTATGGTAGGACAGTTTGGGGCAGAAGAAAACATCCTGGTCTTGGCTGGTAGCTTGAAATGTCAAGAACATCTAGCTCTATATGCTCCAGGTCACATGGAATTCGTAGATTATGTTGTCCTCCTCCAGAAAGATCTCAAATCTGATATTTCTTTGCTAAGAGATATCGCCATTGACGGTTTGTACAATCTCATGAAGCGCAATTCGGAGGATGTTGTGAAAGCGTCCGAGACTGGCTTTGAAGATCAACTTTGGCTGGCCTTAGATTCAGACCCCGCGCATGACGGTATCAGGAATGTTATTCGAAATTGGTTACAACAATCTTGCTTGACAGAGACTCCACGATGGCTACAAAGATGCCAAACTGTCCTATCAATGACGCGGCCAAAAGCAGAAGATTCCACGGCAATATCTGCAAAGGTTAGTGCCATGCCTGATTTGCAGGATGAAGAAGTAGCAGGTTTTGCAGCTGCTTCTGGTATGACCAAAGATACGAATGCCCCTGCTGCGGGTCAAGAGCCACTTAGATGGCAGGTCCGAACATTTGCCATGAGCTGTCTGGGAGAAATATTTGCATTGGTCAGCAAGGATCTAGCAGCCAATGGTAGTTCATCCGCGGAAGTTGCTTTACAAAAGAGAGTTGCCGATGTTATTCGAATGGCGTTTTCTGCCTCCACATCTAACGTTGTGGAGCTCCGAGTCTGGGGTTTGAAGATAATCGATGCAGTGTTGAAGATGTTTGGTCATACACCAGATCCTGATTTCGCCGAAGCGCCACTTCTAGAGCAATATCAAGCTCAGATTAGTTCTGCTCTTACGCCAGCCTTTGCCGCCGACTCCTCGCCCGAATTAGCTTCTGAGGCTGTCAACGTTTGTGCTGCTTTCATTGCAACTGGTATTGTTACTGATGTCGATCGAATGGGTCGTATTCTCAAAACGTTGGTGACTGCACTGGAGAACTTCTCGACAGAGTCTGAAGTTGCATCTATTGGAGATCTTAAAGGCCTCAGCTCTAATGCTCAGGTTATGGTCAAGATGGCGGTTTTCTCTGCCTGGGCTGAGTTACAAGTAGCCAGCACAGAACAAAAGTATCTTGTGGATGTACTCAAGCCATATATTGGCACTTTAACTCCATTATGGCTTGCTTCATTGAGAGAATTTGCACGTTTAAGATTTGAGCCAGATATTTCAATGAGCTTGGGTCCTCCATCGTTGTCTGGCAGTTTAGATAGTATCTATTCTGCATTGAACAGAGAGACGTTACTGAGGTTTTATCAAGATTCATGGCTCAAGCTCGTTGACGCTATCGCTAGTCTTATTGAACAGGATAGTGAATTCGTATTCAATGCTCTTGATGGCAAGGAAGCTGATGCTCCTTCGACAAATGGAAATTCGAAAGGGAATGACATCAACTACCGAGACGAACCAGTCGCATTCTTCTTCGTTCTTTTCGGAATTGCGTTTGAAGCACTCGTTGCTAAACCTGGAAGTGAGGCCCTGGCATCCAAGGGACAAACACTCGAGATTTTGCAGGCTTTGAAGAAAATCTTGCATCCTAGTGTGTCTGGACATGCGATATATAGAGAGGCAATATTCTCGGAAACTATGGATCTACTAGATCGACTTGTTCTCACCGAAGGACTTGATGTTCAAACTGTTATTGTGCAGATCGCAAGAAGTCTGTGCATTTCTCATCCGTCGGCCACCAAGGCGGACGTGGCTGAGGGTGAGGATTTGTCGGAGGATATCGAACAGCTTTTTGAACTGACTAGAATTATTGTTTTGGTACTTGCTGGTCTGCTACCAAATTTGATTGAAGCACAGCAACCAGCTCGTCATCCACTAACAGATGAAGCCGTTTCTCTGGTCAGAGTGTCTCTCAATGCATTGGTCGATGCTGCCGAAGTGTTCCCGTCGATAATTAAAACAGATCTGCACGCTTGCATTATTCACATATTTGCTACCATCCTTGGAACAGGAAGTTGTCAAGCCGTGGTAGTTCCTCAATCACTCCCAATACTCAAACGATTCATCACAAGTGTCTCCGCATCGTACAAAACCCAAAATCCTAAACACAACACCAGCATCATACAATTACAAGGTTGTCTCAAACGATTCTTATCGATATACATGAACGCACAAAAGCGAGAGACAGAAGTATCTCTACCATGTGTCAAAAATTCTCTTCTTGCTTCAACCTTATTGCTTACTAGTGGGGCAAACCATCTATCCGCTAGCGAGCCCCTTGTCACTCGTTTCCTGGATGAAGTTGTAGATTGCTTGAGTGATCGAATGGTAAGAAACTTTTTCTCAAGGTGTGAGCTTTGCTAACATAATTTCACAGACCGCAAAAGTAGCAGCAAACTGTATTCGCAGTCTCCTTCTCACAAACCCCAAAACACCAGCAGACCAAAGCATCGCGCGTTATCTTTTACCCCTCCTGATAACTTTCAGCACAAATACCGCAGCTGAAGACCCCGAAAACGCCAGAGCTCTCACATTACATGCTTTAACAGCATTCGTAGTTTCACTTGATGGAAAACAAAGAGCAGTAGCTATGTCTGTAGTCATACCTACGTTGTTGAAACGTGCGAATGGCGACGGAGAGAAAGTTTGGAAGGAAACTAATGCAAGATTGCTTGAGATGGCGGCGGCTGATCCAACAGCTTTTAGAGCCGTAGTTGGAGGAATGACGGCAGAGCAGAAGGGATTTATGGAGGGAGTTCTGGTTAAAGGTAGAGAGGGTGGAAGGGGGAAGATTGACGAGGATGAGGAGGGGGGAAGAGAACCAACGATTGCTTTGAGGATGGATTTTGGTGGATAATGGAAAAATGGGTTGGAGAGGGCAATGGATGAGAAAGAAAAGGAAAGTAAAATGTTAAGTTTGCATAGAGTGGAGTAAGGATCGTATGTTGGGATGATTATGGGATGTGGAAATAGCATGGAATGATAGGATGGGATAGATATTAATATTAAGCGGGGATATTATTCTGCGGTTAAGCAAAGGGAAGTGGTATTTTCAAATGCGCCTATCCATGTCTTGTTGTGTGCTGTTTCTCCTGTTTGAGAGTCCTTCCTGCTATGCTTCGTGTCCAACTTAATATCTGAAACACCATAATCAAATCTATATCCCGTCCCATCTAATTACTTCCGGCGCAATCTCCATTCCCTTGGACCCGTCTAACACCTCATATCTCAATTACATTCATCTCTGACTGGAAACCCTCCTTGACTCATTTAATAATCCATCTCCTGGAATTTATCGTCTAATCATCCTCCGTTCCCACTCTATCGTCTGACTCTCGGTTCTGGTAGGCGGAGAGAAGAAATCCGCGGGGCCGTTGCCGGTTCTGGCGCTTTCGGGGTAGCTGAGCTCGAAGTGGAGGGCGGAGAAGGGCTTTTTGAGGGAGCGCCAGATGGAATTGAGGGTGAAAGACATGGTTTTTTTTTTTTTTTTTTGATTCTGGTTTTGGTTTTGATTTTGGTGCAGGAGGATGGTTCTGAGGAATTAAGAAAAAGTAGATGAGATGGTTTAGTGTTTTTCAAGGTTTGATTTTGAGGTCTGGTGATGTTGTGTAACGTGGGCTGACGAGGTGATTGGCAACAACTGTCCTCGCTCTTCTCGGAGTTGAGGAGATTGAATTGGGAATTATATCTCGCAACTTAAAAGGAGAACGCAGCTAGTATATATACATATCTATATCTCTATATCCAACCCTACATAAGTACTCGTACATGTATGAACCGAGCCATACCCGAAATCCCCCTGTCTTTTCTCTCCCAACCCGAGAAGAAGAAAAGGGAAAAAAAAACCAAGCCCCGAAAATCGCAATTTTCATATCCGAAAAATTCGAGGATGATTGCATAGCTAGCATGCAAAAAAAAATCTATAAAAAAATCTCATGATTTTTCTTCTCGTCACTTATCGAGTCATGATCTGAATGGTCAGTTGTATCGCCACATACCGAGAATTCCCCATTTTTTTACCGAGATGTTGCATATTTTGTGGGTGAAAATTGAGATCACCAGATGGTTTCTCGATGATTTTTGGTTGGAGAGGGAAATTTTTCGGAGGTTTGATTACGTAGTTGATTTGGATTTCGGGTAGGGTTGCGCCGTGTTTTCTATTTTGGTGGGATGGGATGGATGGAAGGTGTGGGTGTTGGGGTTTCGGACGAAAGGAAGAGACGTCGAGGTAGGATAGGATGGAAAGAGCGGGTCGGAATGTAAGGGGATATCATGTGACTGTCGGAGTGAGATGTGGTAGCGTTGTGTCATTAATAGATTACTTACTACTGTATTGATTGATTGGCTTTAAGGGAAATATTGATTGTTACGGGATGAAATTTTCTGTTCGCATTTTCCAGTGTGCTTGTCGCTTGTGCCGTTTGAATGTAGGTATGTAGCATCAGAAAATATTCGTCAATGGGCTCTTGTTTCAACGTCTGGGATGGCTATTTCTCGATGGTAGACTAATGTTCATATTTTAAGGGTATTTTCTACTGAGCTTTGAAGTCATCATAATAACTGGTCATTTTTGACCTTTCAGCATCAATGTCAATTTTGATGCTCTGTGTTGCTAGCTCTTGTTTAGCGTTGAACTCTGAATATGTCCCGCCACAGATAATGCACTCAGTGAATTGTCTTATAAGCACAGCTACCCATGTTCCTGGTATCACATTCTCCGTGAAACTCAACCCGAGATAGGAAATCGTGTGTAACAATGTGCAAGGCCTCACATGTTCAAAATCATTTATGAAGAGAAGAGAAGACAAACTGGCAAATAATTGTGAAAGTATAAATGGGTGGTTTGCTGCTTCAGAAAGGACTATGAAAAACGGCGCACATGACTCGAATCTATCTCTGTGTAGGTAAGAAATCTCTAAACACTATACCAAGAAACCCCTTCCACAATATCCCTCTTCCACCGAACATCGGCAGTGACATCTGAACGTAAAGATATCACTTTACCGTTCGAGCCTGCTGTTCATTTGTATCATCAGTGGCATGTCTCTGTATACTCTGACAATTGAGGTGTTAGAATAATTTTTAGAGATATGAAGAATCGTGAGCTGGGGTTTGCTACTAACCGCATTGACAGCCTTCCGCTCTGCGACATAGATTCTGCAATCTTCTCTTCCCTTTTCAACGTCTACAAACCATATGATGATACTCGCAAAAGCACATAATGCGAACAGGAATGGAAATCCCATCCAGTTATTATTGGTATGATTGACAATGGCTTGGATGACGTTTGGGCCGAGGATTGAAGACTGGTCGATTAGTTGAAAGTTATAAGCATCGTCAGGGACTGGAAAGAATATGAATCACATACAGCTTTATTTGTAATACCAAATAACCCAAAAAACATTCCCTCATATCCTCTAGGAGTAACCTCACTCATCATTGTTTGAGAGTATGAGAAATATGGCGCTTGAAATAATCCAAAAACAATGTTATAAACCCAAAAGTCGTAAACATGGTGATAGCCTATCTTGTCAGTCCATAATCCGATCACGCCATATAGCGGAATCAAAACACTAAAGATGTTGGTGATGATGAACATGGGTTTGGTTCGAATGCCAAAATACTGTTGAATGTACCAAAATGAGAAAGTGGATATCGTGGAGGTGACAGCTTGTGCAAGTCCAAGATACGTTAATTGGAGAAAAGAGAAAGAGATGACTTCGTTCTGAATAATAGAGACGAGAGTAGTGGTCGTATTTAACCCATCAGCAAGCATGAAGAATGCGAGTAGATAAGTGAATGTCTGAGGAAGATGACGAATCTCGACGAGGGCGAGATAGACTTGTTTCCAGCCGATGGTCCATATTGAACTACCTTTTGGAATAGGTGGTCCAGGACGTGATTGTTGGAAAATAAACCAAGGAAGGCCAAGAACGACCCAATCTGGGTAAGTCAGATAAGATGATCTTTTGAAGAGAAGAGAAGAGAGACTTACATGAGTTTGTGAGGCACAATGCAAGATTGTTAGCGAAAGAATTTCCCTGCATCGGAATCAGGACAGAGAGGCTGAGTACTAGTACAAGAACGTATCCGATACTGGCATGGGCGGTAGATATATTACTAATATGGTTTCGTTCCATACTTTCTATCCTATCATACTCATCTTGATTTATGCTTTCTTCTTTAAGTTCTTCATCTCGAGCCTTTTGAACATGGGGCATGTAGCGGGCTAATCTGGGAAATAATGCATAATAGAATACCAATGATGCCTGTTACCATGTAACGTTAATATAAACACTTCAGCTAGATTGATGAGAAAACTAACGCCGTATGAAATGTATGATACAATATACAAAGCCATGGCCGTGGGCCACTGTTCTGGCTTCGTAATGGCCATCATCCCGTATTGGAAAACCCAGCACTTAATCTGTTAGTGTAACCTTCACGGGGGTAATTTGCCACTTACGACAACAGTAAGAAATAGCAGTATCCATCTTCCAAAATGCCCATAGTCTGCAACCGATCCAAAAGCCACAAATATGACAGACATAATGGTGAAGCAAATTCCATTGGCAAGCAAAACCACACTAGATACAGATCTTGTAGTCGTACCCCACGGGATTACACAACCTCCTGTGGTACAATTACCTATTTGGGCAGGTGTAATGGCGGGATCCCACCCAGCTTTACTCAGAGCATTCTGAAAAAGAGCTTGAGAATAGCTTTGCGGCCCTACTCCATTGTTTCCCTAAGAATTGACAGTTAAATAACAAACAGGCCCTACAGTGGATCGGCGCTCACATTGTAATAAAGATAATATGACCATAACTCCTTTCTCGAGGTTGTAGGCTGACTAGATGATTCTTCGTCGATACCAAATAGTTGTTCATATTTGTTGATGTTTTTCTTGATGCGATCAGACTTCGTTCCATCGATATGTGTTCCATTGCCGCTCATTTCGATAGCGTTATCTTCGATTTCATTGACCTCGGGGGAGCCCATACTTGCTCTTCTTCTCAGCAGTGGCTGTCTCGAAAGACTCCGCTCTCTAGAGGAGGAAGCCATATTGTTTATAAGTGCTTCTCATCTCTCGAAGAAGCCTTAGCTAGTCTCTCGTCGTACAAAACGCAATGTCGCGTTGCATTTCGTAAGATAATGTTATCATGTCGCACCCGGCTCCGCTCTTTTACAGATAATAGAGTTAACCTATTAAATAGCAAAGGCTGGCTGAGGAGACAGATATGCTGCAGGCGTGATTGTATTCAGACGACACACTTCGGTCGTCGGGCTTCAGCCAAGTTGTCTCGGCCGATCTCCGGTCACATCACGTGACCCTTCTCCTCAACCTCCCTATTAATTTAATCTTTGTGTGTCAAGTCAAAACCTCTTCTGTGCGTGATCTTTCACAACTTTTGCAGGCAAGGAAGCCTTGGGCAGCTTTTTAAATGCGAAGTTACACTGGGAGCTTTGAGCCTCGTGATTAAATAACACGGAAGGACACCGACAGTTCTCTCTTTGCAAGCTTCACTAGACACACTTAAAAATAACAGTGCCAAAATATAAGGGATCAGCAACTAGCCAATCTTCAGATCAAGAGCTGAAGGAGAAGATTGGACAAGTATGGTTCATCCTTGTGAACTCTCTCGAATTCATGCCAATGCTTGCCAATTTCACTGCTCTCAATCTTTCGAATATCATGGGATCGATGGACGGGCGGATCGACCACGTATCCCACAGGTGATGGCGCAATCAAATTCCTCGCTGATTCTAATGGTAACTTAGCTTTTCATAGTTACCATTAATAGTCATTTTGTCGATGAAGATTTCGAAACTCTGACCAAAGCTTACAAAATTGGAAACGTCATACGTTTTCCATAGAAACATCTCTACAACGATGAGACTTTTCCGACCAACGGCTCCATAGAAAGATCTGGTTCATAGGTAGTTATGGATATTCTTAGACAATCTTTATCGCAATCGATCAGGGAGATTGGCGAGTGGCTCGCATCAATCCGTCTCTTACAACACAGCTTCCTGATTCGATGGCTTTTGGTGCGACCGGTGATCAGTCAAATGCATATGATGTTGCTGAACTTATAATAATGAATACTAAAAGAACATCAGCATGGACTATGTGCCCGTTGCGAATAAATATCTGGAACCAAAGACTTCAATCATTGAAGTGAGATCATTCTCGGGTGACCCAGAGACAGTTAGAAGATTTGTATAGGCGCAAGTGAAAGGTTTGCAGCAAAACGGCATAGTATCTTGCGCTAAGCATCCCCCTGTTCATGACAATACGGCAGATGACTCTCAATATGGACTTCCAGCTGTCCTTAAGAACAAGAATTAATTAGAAGCTTACGAGCTGGTTCCGTTCCGGCAAGCCATGAAAGCTGCCGTAGATGCTATTATGGTGGCTAAGATATCTCTAGCCTGGTCAGAAGACACCTTTAATTTAGTCATGGACGACTTACGTGCCAATTTGAGTCCAGATCTAATCAGGAATCTACGCGAAGAGATTGAGTATGGGATTAACAGTAAGTGATTGTTTAGAGATGGGAATAATAAGAGCAACTTACGGGACAGAGAAAGGAGCAGTTGCGGTTTTGAAGGTCAGTGCTATAGATCTGATCAAGAATACCAATACTCAAAGCTCGTACATTTAGACAGGGCTTGATTACGTCACGGTTTGCCATACTTTGAGAGCTCGAGTAGGCGTCATTGAAGCTATTATTGCTGCAGTAAAATCTGGTGAGATCTCTCAATTAACTATTGAGTCTTTGGCACATCAAGTATTACGGCTCAATGCTAATTATTCATCCCCGGGTATATCAAATGCGGCTAGTCGCTACATAGGTCTTCAAATGCTTAACAAAGCATAATCAAAAATTGCGTCCTCAATTTATGCCAGAAGTACAACTTTTGTCCGCGCCGGATCAGGATGTCTTCCAGTTTTCTCATTAGCTATGAAAGTATTTTTCTATCCCTAACAGAGGCACGCTTAGAAGGTGACGCTGATGAAAGTGGCGGAGATAAAAAAGTTTGATCACCCTTACTTACTTCTTATAAAGCAAAAAATCTCAAGCACAGTTATGAATCTATCATTAATCAACAGATTCACAAGAAATTTTCATTACAACCCAGTCATGAATACACGGGTAAGCTTGCGGAGGCTGATGTAATTATATTTGTGACCAGAACTCCAATCTTCAATTCACATCAAACATATGCGGCACGTCTTCCAAGCACGTCTCTGGTTGGAGGCAAAAGATTCATCTCGATTGCAACATGTGATTCCCACGACATTTTTGAAGATAGCGATGCCACCAAGATTAAATCGCGATATTTGAGTCGAAGTTATCGGCTTTGAAGGCGGGGCTAGGTATAATATTTGCTTACGAGTAGCTCTAGGTCTTCTCCCTGTCTCTTCAATGAAGCATTCTGTTCACATAGTCAGTGGAGGGTCTGTTAACGCAAAATATGAGGGGAAAGATGGACCCACGTACAGAATTGTCAAGTTTGTTGGTGGAAATATTAGGCGGAATAATTGAGTCAAGTTGAGGAAGACCAAGTCCTAGGCTAGCATTATGAAACCATGGCTACATGATTATATCTCGGAGAACATTCGAGCTAGGTCTTAACATGTTCACTCTCTCTGATTATGCGTGAAGATTCTGCATTTTTGTTGCTCATGTCATGAGGAAATAAGACGGGGACAATTTATGCGAAGAGGTGGATCGAGGATACAGTGGTTAAGTGGTACCTAGGTATCATTCTGTTGATGAAGAAATGGTAGGACATGAAAGAATGGGGTGACTGTCGGCATGTATTGATTGAATCAGTATCTATGGTTTGTATGAGACGCTAGACTTCGAATTATTGAGAGGTCATGAATTATCTGAATATTCCTGAGATTTGGCAGCCTCAGAAATTCAAATCGGAAGGTCATTGTCCGAGCCTAATCAGGAATTTCACATGGTGGTAGCTGGCACAGAAGCAAATGTGGAATGCATTGTCGATCTGAAGAGTTCCCCGCACTTGAGGAAAATGGAAATAGATTCTAGGTTCAGACATTGAGAGTTTCTGCCTGAGCCTAAGTGGTGTAAAATGGAGAAGTGGCGGTGGGGTCCCCATGGCTAAGTATGTGGTATAGCAGGGACGTATACTGGTCCAAGGTCCTGTGATGTGATGTTTTGTTTTGTGTTCCTCGTCACAGTGAAATCTGACCCGGAGGAAAATATTGTACTGCCTCAAGATGGCTGTGGTAACGAATTTACTCCTGGATTAGTATCTGTCCATGTTGGACCCACTTACCCGATTTTTTCCAATCTCGCTTTTTCTTGTTCCTTTAGACTTTTCGTGTTGTCAACGTTTTGGTTATTTTTGCTCCTATGGCCGGAATTTTCAGGGGGGGTTAGCTCTTCGATTATCACGGATAATTTATCCTTTGCCAATCAATCAAGCTTTACTTGGCAATCTGATGACTATGCATTATTGCGTTGGAAAACTGGGGAACCCCGGTACTCGGCAGACCTCTTGACGGAATAAATTAACACAAGAGCTTTAAGTGCCTTCGGGTCAATACAAGAGTCCTCCGGATCTACACATCCGAGCCCTAGTTCTTAATTGAAAATCACAGGTAATATGCCGACCGATTAGATTGGTGAAGCCTTAATACCACACTTCACAATGTCAACAATTGTTTGTGTTGTTAGAGTTAAGCTCCCAGGAAATAATAAGATGATTTAGTTGGAGACAGCTAAAGAGCTTTTTGTTCCTTATTTTCTTGCTGGATTTCACGCCAATTGTCGTAGCTCGACAAAATTTATCTCGAATGCCGAAACAGAACTTTAGTTTCTCGGCTAAGATATTTTCTGCAACTGCGATTCGTGCATGTGTATAAATAGGGGGGGTAGCGGAGAAATATAAACAAAACGCCCAACGAACTCCATGCTCGATGTTCCTGACTTGAAATGTTGCGCGTCTTTTAATTTAAATCGGTTGGCAATTCCGGGTATATCTTGCTAACTGTCATGTCGTTGTTTGCTCTGAGATGTTTGTGGGCCCCCAATGTGAAAACTAAAGCTTTTTTTTAGCAAGAAACCATATCAGCTGAACCCAAGCTTCCATGCATTCCATAGCTAATTTTTGAAGTAGTCTTCTTTTACGGACCGTCTGTCCGATTGTTGTTGCGGATGTTAGGTTTTTGGTACCGTCAGTCCAGCGGACTCTCGAGCCGGTCGTCGACGAGGTCAGAGTGTGATAGATATGTCAAGAACTTTGACCATGTGAAAGAACTCTTAACCACAATCCGGGGGACACGGAACAGAGTATAAAGTGAAGGGTCTTTCCTGGTTCAAATTCCTCTTCATCTCAACTACAATTTGCATGAACACAAGAATCAGACAGTAAATCACCATGACGTCAAGAATTGCTTTAGTCTCTCTTTTCGCGGCCGTTTATGGTCAACAAGTTGGTACATATCAAACAGAAACTCATCCTTCTCTCACTTGGCAATCTTGCACGGCTAAAGGATCTTGCACCACAAACACTGGAAGCATTGTTCTTGATGGAAACTGGCGATGGACTCACGGAGTAGGCACTTCGACAAATTGTTACACAGGAAATACTTGGGACGCGACATTGTGTCCAGATGATGCCACTTGTGCAAAGAACTGCGCTCTTGAAGGTGCAGACTATTCTGGAACCTACGGTATTACAACCAGCGGAAATTCTTTGAGATTGAACTTCGTTACTCAATCATCATCAAAGAACATTGGATCTCGAGTTTACCTCTTGGCCGACAACACCCACTATAAGACGTTCAATCTCTTGAATCAGGAGTTCACATTCGATGTTGATGTCTCTAATCTCCCTTGCGGATTGAACGGTGCTGTTTACTTCGCCAATCTACCCGCTGATGGAGGTGTTTCCTCAACCAATACGGCTGGTGCCCAGTATGGCACCGGGTACTGCGATTCACAATGTCCACGTGATATGAAGTTCATTAATGGCCAGGTAAGTTCAGATAAGTTCAGATAAATATTGCAAGAGGATGAAGCTAACTGAATTGTGTACTAGGCCAATGTTGATGGTTGGGTACCCTCAAGCAACAACGCCAACACTGGTGTTGGTAATCACGGTTCATGCTGTGCTGAAATGGATATCTGGGAAGCAAACTCGATTTCCACTGCTGTCACTCCTCACTCTTGTGATACTGTGACACCAACTGTCTGTACCGGTGATGCATGCGGTGGCACCTACTCATCATCAAGATATGCTGGTACTTGCGATCCAGATGGATGTGATTTCAACTCTTACCGCATGGGTAACAAGACTTTCTATGGTCCAGGTATGACTGTCAACACTAAGTCTGTATTTACTGTCGTCACCCAGGTAAGCATCTTTTAGCCACGTATACTTAAAGAATAAACTAACATTTCAACCAGTTCCTCACCACCGACGGCACAGCATCTGGTACTCTCAATGAAATCAAACGTTTCTACGTCCAAAACGGCAAAGTTATTCCTAACTCCTACTCCACCATCTCAGGCGTAACCGGCAATTCCATCACAACTCCTTTCTGCGATGCTCAAAAAACTGCTTTTGGTGATCCAACATCCTTTGCCGAACATGGTGGTCTTGCTTCCATGTCTGCTGCTTTCAAGGCTGGCATGGTTCTCGTGTTGTCTCTTTGGGATGATTATTATGCCAACATGCTTTGGCTCGACTCTACTTATCCTACTACGCAAACATCAGCAGGTGGTTCAAGAGGTACTTGTTCTACATCATCAGGAGTTCCAGCTTCGGTAGAAGCAAGTTCTCCTAATGCTTATGTAGTCTATAGTAACATCAAGGTCGGAGCTATTAACTCTACTTACGGTTAAGAGTATGTGGATTAGGCACCAGGAGTCAAATCGTAGAAGTCGGGTGATGAATTATGATGGTGGTGAAAATGATGATGAAGGAGAAAACTAGAAGCGCTCGTTTATCAAAATCAGGTGGTGGAGAAAATTGGAAGCAATCATTTATTGATCTTGTGTGGTATGAGATGGAAGTTAACATCGGGAAGTCTCGCTCGTTTGGGGAATTGTGCATATGGAACTCTACTTTGTACATATGATTTCAAATTATCACACATCATATATCTACATCATGCCTGCTTTGTGCCTTGATCGTGAATATTGTTCCAGGAAACGAGTACAGTATTAGATGATGAATCTTCAGTACACGATAGAGTAAGCATAAATTAAACTTCTCTAGAAGCTCAAAGCTAGAGTGACTAATCGCAGACTAAAAGTACCCCTAGAACAAGACTAACCATCAAAACAAAAACATCCATGTTCAGGTATGCAACACAATCATTGATAGCGCAAATTTTGCGGGAGCTAATACGGATCAGTACAAAGCGGGGAAACAAGCTTACTTAAATACACAAGCTTCATGCTAGTATATCATGCTAGTTAAAGCTCTCATTCCCGAGTCCTAGACCTGATTAGATTTTGTGAAATTCTATCCCATTCTTACAAAGATATATCAGGATTATAATATCCAGGTGTACAACGAAAGAAGAGAATTTGAAATGGAAGTATAATGTGTAATTAACAAAATTAGATTAGACATATCAAAAGCAAATACGATACTGTCATCTGAATTGAGATATTCCTAGTGAGAATAGGAGAACGTGACTCAGTATTAAAGAGTCTACGAAGCCTCAGCATCTGCTATTCATTAATCAATCCCCTCACATGTGAGCCGTGGGTTATGAACAAGGAATTAATGTTTGCTCTTTAACTGGGAATAGTAAAAAACCAAACCCCTAGAATAATAATCAACCCCAAAATATCCTTGTGTTGACCAAGCCCCTTACCATCCCGGATTTACACGGCTTTACATACATGTCGAGTCCTAACAATTCATAAAGACTATGTAAATTTCAGATAGAGTATGTGGAAGAAGATTTGTTGGCGTATCCCACGTCACAGTCGAAGGAAGGAAATAAGTCAGGTCTGATGGGCTTGTATAATGTTGAAAACTTGAGTCTGGAAGAACTAAAGATAAGAGTGCTGTATAATGGGTCAATAAAGAGGATTGCAGAATATATCGATAGTTGTAGAGGTAGAACCAGTGATCTTGCTGAAAAGATACAAATTGAGTGATCAACAAAAGAGTCAAGTTTTTGATTCCCTTAATTTAAGTCTTGCGTGACAGGCCGTGGGAAAATAATTAAATTTGCTTATGGACATCATTATTTGAGAAGAATTGGTTTTTAGTAGTAGGCGTTTCATCCTTGGTGGCTGTTGTAAAGCAAGCTTGTCATAGTTATCAACGACGTAAGCGAGTATCCCTTTGAATCACATGAACTGTTCTCTACGCTTTGAAGTCAATCCTGTAGTTTCCAAAACCATGCATTCAATTACACTGTAGCAATGGATTTATTGATAGTTTGGATTATTATCTGCAACGCTAAAGGGTCGTATCAAAATACAAGTAGCTCTTTGGTTTTAACGAAGTGTCCACTCGAATTTTCGGGTGAGAATCGCCTTGCCCCATGCAGCAACGGAATGCTGAATTGAATCATCGTTGACCGGCTAGTATTGTCTCTTATAGTTATTTAAATCCATCATACGAAACACACTCTGAGTCTCCCTCTCAAAAGTGAACTCGACGCTATTGCTCATGACAGAACGCAACTGGTACATAACCGACTCTAGAACTTCAGGTGCCTCTGGTGTAAAGTTCACATATCTAAGCAAGCGTCTGGTCTCATACCTAACATTTCCACAGACACCTCGGATAGAAAATTTCCTGAGTCGGGACCAAGTTCCTCCTAACAATGCTGGAAGTATGAACTTAAAAAAGTAATCATCCATTGGCCTTCTCGATTGGCTCAATGTGGATGTATGATTACGCGACTCCACTTGCCTTTTTTCAAGTGGTTCAAGTCCAACTCCTTGTTCAAAAGCAAAAGTAACCAGTATGGGTGCTACCGATCTGATGAAACTTGCCATTTCGGAATATCGCTTTCTTTCTCTTGTTTCTGACCATCTAAGATCTTGACTGACCTCACGACCTGCTGTAGAGATTTTAAGATGTTTCAATGGCACAAATTTTCCAATAAGAGGCCTTAGATGCCCTCTCATTGGGCCGGCGTGTCTCAATACAGGAATTCCGTTCTCATCCTTAGTCTCTTTGTATCTTGTCTGGTTTGACCAGAAATGATCGCCAACATGCAGATGAAATAAAACATGATTTGAAAGGCGAAAGCCATCTCTCGGTTGTAGGAGGCCTTGAAGATTTTCTATCTCCAAAGAAGCTACAATAGAAGGTGTTGAAACACAAGCGCGGAAATAGTTATAGGGCATAATACCTCCCATTCTAATGACAGTAGCTTCGGGGAATAGCGCTGGTGTTATAATTGCTAAAGGTCCCAAATAATCTTCGTAAAACAATCTTATGGGAAAATAAAAAAAGTCTTCCCAGTTAGCAGCAAATGAATAAATGTCTAGTCTTTTAACTCGAATTAGCAACTTCCACGCCTCCCACATTTTTGCATGATCCTCGCATTTCTGTTGATATGAACACTGCCTCGGATAGATGGTCCAAGTTAAACTCGAAACGAATTTCCCTAACATATATATTTTAAAACACGGTTTATAATTGGAAGCTGATTGGTTGAGAAAAAGTATGGATGCTTTGTGTGCGAATATTAAAATGTTTTATATTAATCAATCAACAAATCAAAAGTAGAGAATTTATAAAATGAGATCGAAAGGGATTCTAGGATTTTATGAATTGAGAGTTTTTCAATGGTATAATTTTTATATTAATAAATTATAATTTATAGGAGAAATAATTGATTAGAGAGTAGATTGAAGAGATTGAAGATTTGAAGAATTGAAGAATTGAATAAACGTTTCTGATTGGTTTGGATGTCGGAACTTGTGATAAGAGAGATAAGGAATTAGAAAGGGATGGGATTAGAAAGAGGAGGGGGATTAGAAAGAGGAGGGGGATTAGAAAGGGGAGGGGGATTAGAAAGGGAGGGGGATTAGAAAGAGGAGGGAGGGGAGGGAGAGGAGGGAGAGGAGGGAGAGGAGGGAGAGGAGGGAGAGGAGGGAGAGGAGGGGAGAGGAGGGAGAGGAGGGAGAGGAGGGAGAGGAGGGAGAGGAGGGAGAGGAGGGAGAGGAGGGAGAGGAGGGAGAGGAGGGAGAGGAGGGAGAGGAGGGAGAGGAGGGAGAGGAGGGAGAGGAGGGAGAGGAGGGAGAGGAGGAGAGGAGGGAGAGGAGGGAGAGGGAGGAGGGGGGGAGAGGAGGAGGGGGGGAGAGGAGGAGGGGGGTTAGAGATTTATTAGATTTATTAGATTTATTAGATTTATTAGATTTATTAGATTTATTAGATTTATTAGATTTATTAGATTTATTAGATTTATTAGATTTATTAGATTTATTAGATTTATTAGATTTATTAGACTTATTAGATTATTAGATTTATTAGATTATTAGATTTATTAAATTTATTAGATTTATTAGATTATTAGATTTATTAGATTTTATTAGGATTATTAGATTATTAGATTTATTAGATTTATTAGATTTATTAGATTTATTAGATTATTAGATTTATTAGATTTATTAGATTTATTAGATTTATTAGATTTATTAGATTTAGGCTTAAAGGCGCCTTCGGCGCCCTTATGCGAGCTAGAAGCGAGAGGCTAGCGAAAACTATTTATTATTATTATTATTATTATTATTATTATTATTATTATTATTATTATTATTATTATTATTATTATTAAAAAGCTGCGCAGCACGAGCGTAGGCGTAGGTCCTGAGTGGCGTTAAAAATAACTACAGAGAGCGCTAGCGAGGCCGTTGTTATTTTTAGCCGCGAAGGGCCGAGAAAAAGCTCGTTTTCAAATAATATAATAATGAGATATTCTACTAGATCAAAAGAAATCAATAATATAAACTTTAATAGCTAAATATTCTATTAAAGATATTTGAGATTATCCAAAAAACTTATTTAAAAAACTTATTTAAAAAACTTATTTAAAAAACTTATTTAAAAAACTTATTTAAAAAACTTATTTAAAAAACTTATTTAAAAAACTTATTTAAAAAACTTATTTAAAAAACTTATTTAAAAAACTTATTTAAAAAACTTATTTAAAAAACTTATTTAAAAAACAATTAATTTTTATTTCTTTCTTTCTGCTAAATATATACTTAAATCATATTATCACTTGATCTCTATTATCTGAATTTCTGATTATTAATACTTCAACTCAACATCCCTTTAGTTATTACTTGTAATCTTGAAATGATATTTATTAGAGTTTAAATTCGAAATTTCATTTGAATAGATACTTTTTTATAACATTTGACAATAATCCAGAAGTTACTATCTTACTCCGATCAATTGATAGATCTCATGTATATATATCAGCTTAATAATTACAATTTTGGAGAAAGCAATGAGATTTTTCGAAAACATCTATTAATCCATTTTGAAACATATATAAACTTTGAAGTACTCAAAGAAAGCGGTAGCCACAAATAACCGAATATCTATCAAGTAAAAGGACTTCTGTAGAGTTTTATGTCGATTCAATTGGGTTTAGTATTTAGACAATTTCCCACTCGATCGTATCAAAATCACCCACCCCCCTCATACCACACTCCCGGCTCGATTCCGCTGTTAGAATTCATATTTAACTCCGGAAACGAGTAGTTCGGGTTCCATAAATCCTCTTCCATACTGACGCCAATGTCAAAGTCAATCATCTGGGTCATCTCTTCCCAAAACGAAGTATTCATTTCAAAATTGTTGAAACCCGCAATGGGGTCAGCAGAAGAGCCATCGGAAACCAGTGGTTGTGGTTGAGAAATTTCAAAGCCATTTGCATCCTGTGCTGGAACCGTAACTTCCTGAGTAGCCGCGTTGTCCCCCTTGGTGACATTTCGACCACGTTCTTCCCGGCTTGATAACTGTGAATTGTTGGCTGTCTCATCGTCATTTTTATTACGGTCCAAGATCCTCTCCTGACAAATGGTGAGAATTTGTAGACCTGATTTTGCCATGGGGCTCCTGTCCTCCATCATCTTCAACCTGCCTATCGATTTCTCGATTGCAATCTTCATTCTTTCCTTTAGACCACTTTCCAAACTCGGTGATTCTAATACTATCCCAGACAAAACTATTCCACAATCAATAGTGTTAAATGCCAAGGTATAGATCCGATATTGATGTGGTTCTACTGCTTTAAAAAGTTGATCCTGAGCGTCAAGACAATCTAATGCAGCTTTCATGGATGCAGTTCGACTTGTAGGGTGGATTGGTGCATGAGGCCTATGAAGTGCCATAAGAAATGAATGCGCGTAATTCGCTATTGCTAATCTCTGGCGAGGAAGTCTTGGTTCTTTCATGTCCCATGATTTATCTGGGTTTTCTGGTCGTAAAACAGGCGGTAAAGCGCCAACCATGGAAACGATCTTGTTATGAAGATTTGTGATTAATGAATAGTCTTTTATATGAGGTCTATGAGCACCAGATGCTAATAGTTCATGAATCATATGAGCTAAAGAATATTGAAACAGTTGAGCCGAGTAAGTGGATGGTGGGGAGTGAGGATCCTGCAAATTTGCTGGAGTAGGTATGGTTTTCGACGGATCATCAGGAAATGAACAATCAAGTGGTGTTTTGATTGTACAATCACTTGCATTGATTGAGCGAGGTCTCCCAAGCATTACAGACATATGACTGACAACAATTAGCAATGTGTCAAGGAAGGATGGAAGCTGCTGACCTGTCCCAAGTAAAGAGCGTTACCCAAAGCCTCCTTTTGTATTCGTCATACCAAAGTTTCTCCAGCCCAATCCCAACATCCTCTCCCGCAACTTTTGGGATTGAAGCTTGTAGATGAAGTCCTAAATCTTGGGCCTGTCTGAGATTCGGTCAGCATGATGAATAAATGAGACAGAAAGACCACAAACCTAATTGCACTACCCAATAAATGCCACGCTTCTGTGCCTCGACTGTAATTCTTCAGCCAACCAGATTTTAACAAATCATGTTCGACGCCTGTTATGGTAGAAGAGTGTCTTCCCAGAAGAGACATTATCTCCATACCAATTTTACTATACTCGTGAGAAATTCTATCACAATCTAACAATGTTTTTAAATTGAGTGTTTTTGATGCTTCTGTGTTTGGAGGTAAGAATTGTAAAGAAACAGCAAGAGTTTGGAATAACAATGCGGGAAAATATAGAAGATCTTTGGAGATACTTCCAAGATCCGATTGCCCACTTAAAGTATTACGGATATCTTGCCATGATTTGAGAAGATTCCGAAAGTAATGCTCTTCTAGTATTTTGAGATACCAATGTAATTCTGAGAAGAATAAGTCGACAAGCTCAGAGACAATAGACTGAGATGGCAATTGTATCACTAAACTCAAGAATTTATGTCGTAAACCAGGATGGGATAATGAATTTGATGTAGGTGTTCCCATGAATGTGGAAAGGTCATCATTAACATGAAATGACTGCTTCTGTCAGGTTGGACCATGGATGAGAATGAAGAAGAAGAAATACCTTCTGTAACCCAGTAAACGAGCTGTTATGAGAAGCATATCCTACTTGATCAAAAAGGTCGGATGGTGTTGAGCCTGACTTCAATATGATTTCCTCGTCTCTTGTACGTTTGTTTGATTGTCCTCCAGTCGTTGAGAGATCTTTTAGATCTTCGAGTCTATCCTTTTCATAAGAACGTTTTCCAGTCACAGTTTAAAATTTATAACATACGATGATGGGTTGGAGTAAGAGCACTTATCCGGAACATTTCGAGAAATGCAAACATCACATGGTTGACCACGATTGCACTATTTGACTCGTTAGAGGCAACTCTTATCAATGATATATCATATTTTACCTTTTGCTTTCTCCTATAACATTCCCAACACGTCTTTACTATACGTCTTCGTTTCTGTGGCTTCGTTTCCATGATTGATTGTTCAGTGTAGCGGGATATATGTCATGCGTAGGTAGGTAGATTGATGAAGAAAATGGTAAACGGTGTGGTTGATTTTCGTTTTCGTCACGTGAAACTGCGCTTTGAAGCGGAGTTAACGTCGTTAAGACCATGAAGCTATCTATATATTGCCTCGTATCCTTCTATCTTCTCATTGCCAAGCCTCGAATATTCTATTACAAGTAGAAACTTTAAAGTCTTCTCGGACCGCCGTCGGAAGATCTCAAGCTGATCTCAAGCTGATCTCAAACTGTACCACTAACAAAATCTCTCTTGAAACACGTAGTCGAACTCGCACATTCGAAGGAACTCAGTGGTGACAATCCGACATTCGAATTACAAAACGTGAACGATATGATACCCGTCTCCATTTGCTTCACAACGCCATTCGAACGAAGAAGAGCTTTCCATGTTGATCTATATCTTCATCCCATCTGCAATTGTATAACCGCACTTGCTAGCTATCTGCTAATTGTTCGCAATGTCTCTGGAGTCTGGAAGGTGCCATGCTGTATTGATTCTCTCTGAGTGCATCCAGTAGAATGGCGGGGCTCAAGTTATCCTCCATTATGCGACTTCGAAGATAGATGTACAAATTCTGAATCGTATAGAAGCATCTTTCTGGAGTTTCGTTGCATTCCGTGGTCATCGGATCTCCTTGAAAGTTGTACAACCGGTATATGGATGGGAATCTGCCCGTCAGAAAGGAATGAAGGAAAGAACATGTTTTTGCTTTCCAGCCAACCTCGAGTGGGAGTAATCATGTTCTTTCTTGGATCGCTTTGATTATCGGGCTCATGTACCAGTCTCAATCGTTATGTGCGGAGTACATCTTAATACTGCAGAACAAGCAGACTCATGCTGAGTTTCGATCAAGTGCCAGTAGATGCACAGCATCACACAAAATAGATAGACCTCACACCTACAACCATCACACTACCTATTGCATGATTCAATCCACCCTTTTGCTTCTCTGCATTGAATAGCCCTCCTAAATTCTTTACACGTTCCCGGAGAGTAGATAACGACATACAAGAAACTTTATCCTGCGAAGGAATACGCTCATCTACCGTCATTATGTCAATTATCACCAATCTTTAACATAACATAATTAACATATTGATTAATCCTTGATGTTGATCGTCTCGCTCACAATTTACCCGACCCCAATGACCGTCCTTCCCCGCAATTTTACCGGACGTGCCGGTTCTTATCCCAAATTCGGTTGGATGAACACCTGCATACGATTTCATCATCACCCGTCACTCGTGCAAGTAACTTGCGGTGTACGAGTATCTCTGAAAAAGTCTATCGACCTCAGGTTACCTCGGACGTATAGCTCAAGTGAGTTTAATGTCCTATCCTTGATTGACAGCTCAAAATAATGGATACATGCAAGTGACTACCCCGCATGGAGAATGAGGGGAAATTCCCACATTATATATATGTTCAAATGACACTGCTGTTTTTGAGTGGAATGCGATTAGGAACTCTCTTTTGTCAGAGGTAATCATGAAGGTCTTCTTATGGTCATTGTCTTTTGGAACTGTTTTGTCTGCTTCAACAGCTGCCACTCCTACGACGACAGCTGGAAGTGCAGACGCGTTTACTACGAATATTAATATAAATGTTCAACGTGAGTCCGTTAGCGTTTTTCTGGTGTATCGAGAATTGCACATGCAACATGTCTCGGTGCTTTTCAATTCCCTTCCCATTCTTGATGACTCAATTCATCACGCAACTAACTCACATCTATTCTAGAACTATGGGATTTCTTTGTCGGTCCGGTAGAAACTGCAACAACCAATACAACCGTCTCCGCGACCCCCGTTCCAACATCCGAGCTCATTCCTCCACCACCTCTCCACTATTCCCCCTTCCCAAGTGGTGCTCAGGTACCTTTAACCCAAAAGAATGAGTCCTGGAAATTTCCTTCGGGATTTTGGTGGGGTGTAGCATCTGCAGCCTACCAGATCGAAGGAGCAGCTGCAGATGAAGGTAGAGGTCCTAGTGTTTGGGATGTGTTTACTCATAATGCTGCTGCGACGGAGACCTTATTCAATGATACAGGAGACGTTGGTGATAATCAATACTATTTGTATAAACAAGGTTTGTTCACTAATACTCCACACTAAGTTTAGATTGATGGAGAGGCTAACAAAAATAGATATCGCGAGAATTGCAGCGCTCGGTGTTCCATACTATTCATTTTCCATTTCTTGGTCTAGAATTTTACCATTTGGAAAGGGGCCGGTCAATGAACTTGCTCTACAGCATTATGAAGATCTCATTGATACTTGTATCGAGTATGGAGTTCAACCCGTCGTTACACTCTTTCATGTGAGCTTTATCCAAACCTCATCCCATCATTATATCCTAACTTTCTCTTTCCAGTGGGATACCCCTCTCTTCCTCCAAAACTCTTACGGCGGCTGGCTTTCTCCCAACATCGTCGAAGATTTCGTCGCCTACTCCAAGATAGTCTATTCTCGCTATGGCAACAAGGTTCCTCACTGGTTTACCGTAAACGAACCCATCGAATTCTGTGGGGAGTATCCGTTTCCCTCTAGCTATTTCACCCCCACCACCATCCCTCCAGAACAACAACGCTTTTACTGCGGTCACCATGCACTCCTCGCACACGCTGAATCTTACCATCTCTTCAAATCCCTGGGACTCAACGGAACCCTCAGTTTCAAAAACAACGGCGGATATAAAATCCCCCTCACAAATTCCTCCGAAGATGCAGTCGCCACACAGCGAGCTTGGGATTTCAACGAAGGCTGGTTTGCTAATCCTGTTTACATCAACGGAGACTATCCACCCTATTTAAAAACCTATCTCGATACCATCCCTCTCACATTTAATGAAAGTCAAAAGGCATTGATAAATGGCACTGCGGATCTATTCGCTCATGATGCGTATACATCTTCATATTACATGGCTCCCGATACGGGAATTGACGCATGTACTTCTAATTCTTCGCATTCGTTATTCCCCGGCTGTTTCAATTCTACGAACGTAAATGCAGACGGGTGGTTAATTGGAGCGGCGGCAGATCCGTTGGCAAGTTGGTTACATATTGCTACAGATTGGGTACCTACGTTTTTGAAATACATTCAGGATACTTGGCCTAGTAAGGGAGGCATTGCTGTTTCTGAGTTTGGGTGAGTTTTTTGGTTTCCAATGATGGCTCGCTGGCTTTTCTCTTCCCCTTTGATTTCTCATTCATCTCTCTTACTTGTATTTCCTCTATCTTATCCCATCAAATCACAACTAACCCCTCTCCTCCCCATAGTTTCGCCGAGCCCTACGAATATCAAAAAACGCTCCTCTCCGATATTCGAACCGACACAAGGAGAACCCTCTACTACAAACAATACATGGAAGCCATTTTAATAGCCATCAGCGAGGGAGTCAACGTCGTTGGATGTTTAGCTTGGAGTATCATGGACAATTTAGAATGGAGTTCCGGTAAGTTTTTTCCTCTCCTCTCTCTGTGATTCTTCATCGAAACGCTATGTTTCTCCACCACAGAGAAATTTCACTCGTGTAGATACGAAAGAGCGATCGCTAATAAAAATACAGGATACCACGTGAAATTCGGAATGCAATACGTGAATTTCACAACCGGAGAACGCTATTACAAATCGAGTTTTTTCGAATATGTTAACGCATTCAAATTATATGCAGAGGACCCAGTGGTCCCGGTTTATGTTCAATAATCCGAATCGAGATGGGAGAACGAATAAATGAGATGGATGAGCTGAATGGACGCGAGAAAGTAAATTATTCGGCTGATGGGTGGTCAGAAAAATATATCCAAATAGGTGAGAAGAAACTTTAGACTGGAGTTGTATATCTAGGTACCTATCGAATACATGGAATGGATACTCCAGGTCCTGAAATATCTGTCTTCATCAAGCGGATCGTCGATAAATAATATATTTTTTATGATATCAAAAGGAATGAGACAGCCAGTCATTATTAGATACTTCCCATCTATTGAAATAAAAGATAAAAGATATAAGATAATGAATGCAAGTTGATAAATCATACATAAATACATCATCATTAATCCCCCATCCCCCACACCGTTTTCAAACCAATGTCTTCCACGCACCAGACGAGTTAAATCAAATCAAATCAAATCAACATCAACATCAACATCAACATCAACAAGTCACAATATCAAAACCTAGGTATCTAAACCCCCAATGACAGAAACAAAAACAGAGACAGAGAAAAGAAAACAAAAACAAATAATAAAGAATAAGACACTATAAAAAATAAGAAGAAAAAAAATCTTCTCATCCGACATTGAAGTGAAGTGAAGTCCTATATTTTTCTAAGATAACCTAACAACCAATCCATCCATCGATTCTTTTTCCGTGGTAGAAAACAGCCCAATCTCATCTGTACGTGTATTTCTCCATATACTATTCTAATTCTCATTCTCATTCTCATAACTCATGATTCGATCCTTGAGTAAACTATGTATCTATCTATCAATCTATCAATTTCTCTCATTCTCACATCTTCTCCTTCCCTATTCTTCACCCCTCCCCCACCTCCCCAGCCCACTCCAACCCACTCCCTCACCCCCTACGAAATCGCCAAAACTAACGGTCCCGCCACCGTAATATCATCCGTCAACACCCCAGTCGCCGGCATCTGACTCGCCAAATTCAGATACGCATCGCCCGCCAAGCCCTGCGGCACCGTACACGCGCCATTCGCAAAAGGCGTGAAGGCCGTTCCGCCCGTCTGTCCACCATTCGTAAACGCACAGGCGGTGGCCCCCTGCGCCGTCGTCGTGAGCTGCAAGGTGGAGCCCGGAGTCACCGCTTCATTCGCCGTTGTGAGCGTCACGGCCGGGAAGGGCGTGACTGCCAAGTTTGAGCCTTGCGGACAGGAAGAAATAAAAGGGGCAGCGAGGGAAAAGACGTTGCGGATTCCGAGGGGAGTGTCGAAGGCGGAGGGGACGGCCGAGACTTTCGACGCGGTGCGGATGAATGTTTGGTGGCGGGATTCGACGGTGACGATTTCGGCGGCGACGGTGAGCACGGCTTTGCTGCTGATGAGGGGCGCCGCACCCAGATAGGCGCTCACGCCGATGTTTTCGAGGACGTTGGCGGTAGCGATCATGTTTTGGGCGGTGGTGAAGCCGAAGTTGTAAGTACACGGTGCGACGGGTTGAGTGCCGGCGGCGGAAATGGCTGTCATAAGAGTCGTAACGTGGGTCGCTTCGGTCATGGCGACCATTTTCAAATTGGCGATGTCTTGGGTGGTGAGACCCAGAGCTGTGAAGTCCGAGTCGGGGAACTTGGCAAATCCTTGTTGGTAGAAGGCCGTTTCCAGATTCTCGAGAGTGAGGGCGCTGGATAGGGGGATTAGTTATGTTTTTTTCTGGGGGAGATGTAGAGGGAAGGAATGACGCTCCGCTAGGCCACTGCCGTGGAGGCTTCTTCGCTTCGCTCTACTTAAAGAATAGGAGAGGTGAAAAATAACATACAATTGCAAAATATCCACATCCGTCAAATCAGCCGGTAGACCCGTCGCGGTAACCTGTCTCTTCACCTCGTACATCTTCAACGCTCTCGCATTAAGCCTCGGTAGCGCTGGGAGAGCCGATGCTACTGCTGCCAATCCAACCACCGCTCCAACAAGATTTCTTAATCCAGGCATATTGATTTGATGGATAGATTGATTTTCGTTTTGAAAAAGAAAGGAGATATATATGTTTATAAAAAGAAAGATGTATGCAAGACCAGCCTGAGCTACAACACCTATAAAATTAACTAAAAATAATAAATTAAGCCTCTAACAGAATTAATAAATAAAACAATGAATGAATGAACGAATTCAAACAAAAAGCAATCCAGTGCTTAAGAAATTAAATAGCAAAGTAAAAACAAAAAAACTTCGTCGTGTAAAGAAAGAAAGTAATGTGATTCCAAACCCAAGAAAACGCAGGAGAAAAAATCCCGACATCTCATCATCTATATGTACCTACCCACCCTCGAGCTACCCCCAACCCATTCACCCACCCATCCATTACAAACCCCCAAGCGATACCAAGACACAGGAAGCAGCACTCCCGCTCACATGTAGCAACATGCAACTTGCTCCCCAAGCGTAATCTTGGCAGCGGTGCTTAAACGATTCTCTGCGCTCTTCGCACACCCTCCTTCATCCGTTTCCTTGCATCACATCTGCCCCATCCAATCGCACACCCGGGTTTGCTCGTCTATCTTTCCCAATGCGGGATTCTAAATAAGCTTATCTCACTTCTCGACGCAGCTGGTGAAGGTGGGAATATGGAACATCGTGTATCCGCGATGTGGTGGAGGACTGCTGGGATGGAGACGTGTGGGATTTGTTTCGAGTGCTTGAGCATTGGGAGCTAAGGGACTTATTAAGGTTAAGGTTATATCATCTGAAAACCGTTTCTTTTTTGCCGTCATTTTTTCTGCCTCTTAATAAAACTAACTCAGTTATTAATTTGTGCATCTCATCTGTAGAATGAAGGATGGATGGATGGATTCATACACTCCTCTCTCATACAAACTTATACTCCCCATCCCAATGAAAATCACGAATACAAATCCGAGTACCGAGAAAAACTCACATGATATTAATAACATTAAGGAGAAAGGAGCCATCTTCCCTCCAATCTTCAATCACCAAGAAATACCATCCTCCATTTTCTTCAACATTCCCCCTCCAAACCACCCATCCATCAATCCTCAATCCTCAACCCTCTTCCCACTCCCAGAAAATCTCACACCTCACCTCACAACACCTTTTCTCTTCTTTTGCCTTCCTTCCCTCCCTTCCTTCCCACTTCCTCACCCATCCATAATCCATAATCCATAATCCATCCATTACAAACTACAAACTAGCCGTATCACATTCGTTTCACATCCGTCAAGCATATTAATCCCTGTACAACCTTACCTACCTACCTTCCAGTAAGCAATCAAGTACCGGACCTAAGTTCATATCCGAGCCCGAATCCTCATCCTCATCATTATCACCATCATCATCAATATCATCCTCATGAATATCATATTTTTTCTACTTCTACCATCCATCCATCCATCCATAAGGAAATACGAAGATCGATCATTCTTGCATTAATATCCACATCCATCCACATCCTTTTCGTATCCGCATCCGTATAAACAAATGACATACAAAAGTCACACAACACACATCACACAACCCATATCACATCACACAACCCATATTACAATATACAACATATATCATACTATCCATTTATCAAGCATACTATCAAGTACCTACTCCGTAATACTCACTCACTCATACCTACCTACCTATCTACCTAGCGAGCGTAGCTAGTAATTAAAAACTTCCTTCTATTTCCCGAGTCTACAGAGTATATATAGGTTAGTTAGTAAGCATGAGGATGGATTCTTTATATATCATTTAGTATCTATTGATTTATTTATTTATTTATATATCTATTCACCCATCCACTCATCCACCCATCTATCTATCCCTCCCTCCACCCATCCACCCATCTATCTATCCACCCATCTATCTATCCACCCATCTATCTATCCCTCCCTTCATCAATCCATTCTATATCTATCCATCTACATCACCATCTACATCACCATCTACATCACCATCTACATCACCATCTACATCACCGTCTACATCACCATCTACATCACCGTCTACATCACCATCTACACCACCATCTACAATACCATTCCATTCGACCCCCCTCCCCCCTTCACTCCCTTCCCCCCACCTACCCACGTCAAGTATAATTAGATATCGTAATCGTCTGAGAATTGCCGAAATCAAGGATCCATGTCGAATGTAGATCAAGGAGGAGGTATAGCACAGTATGGAACTCACAATGCTTGCTTGATATATGTCATCATCTCGGTATAGTTTTACAAAAATATCAGATTCGTATAGTTACAACACACAAGTAAGCCCCGTCAAAGACAAGATATTGATGATTTGAATTCATTTCTTTTCGCTAGACTATAAATGCATCTGATACAGAAACGCTAAAAAGCAAAGGAAATACATTCGAGCCTTAATCCCATTCTCACTCGATATATGATCCGAATAAAAAAGGCATACACTTTCTTCATACTATTTCCTTTTCCTAACTCGTTTCATGACCATTCACTTTTCACTGCATTCAAGTAAACCTCGTACCCATTTGATCCTCCTCAATAATTAATCCGTCCTTTCTTCATTCATTCATCCACCTTTCATTCCCAGTCTCATTTTGATTCATCAATATGACAATCTGACAGTCAAAAAAGACCTATAAACAACCATTGGTCGGTATTATTGATTAAAATAACACAAACCAACGTGTTACGTCGGCAATACTCCATAGCCCACATAATGTATTCATTTTGGTAGTCAAATAATTCGACATTATATCAACGCGTTCAAAACCACAAGTGAGATGGTTGGTTAAATTAGATTTAGAGTGCGTAAGGATTGAGCGATCTAATCGTGAGACATCTATAAATATGTTAGTCGACGTTGGACAAAAGTGAGACGAGATATAAATAAACATACGGTGGACTCTTTGTAAGATCGGTCTTCAAAATAACTGGAACTCTTGTCATCTCCTTGACATCTTGAATGTATTCACCATCTTCTTCCCGAAGGGTGAAATACTTCAAGTACTTCTCCTTGGCGCTAAGCTTAGCTTCAACCGGTTCGCCAGTTGGTACCTTTGAGTCGGAACGAGTTCGGTGAAGGCTGGTTGCGGCTGATATTGAGTTCTTGGTTGGTGATGGTGGAACACTTTGAGTGGGGCGTTCAGCAAGGGAAACACCGGCAACGCTACCAGCAATGTCAGAAGCATCATCGTCATCATCGAATAGAGCATCAACATCATCAGTTGAGATGGTGCCAGTCTCCGTTGTCTTTCGTTGAGCTTCTTCGTGCTCCTTCTTGGCTCTCTCGGCAACAGCGGCTTGCTTAGCAGCGGCAGCAGCGTTGGCAGTTCTTTGAGATGCACCGGCCTTTGGACGCTCATCTTCTGGAACATATGCAGATGATGGTACACCCTTCTCCCAATACAACTCAAGTACTCTCTCATTCTTTCTGAATTCGGCCTTCTTAAGAGGAAGTTGATCGCAATGAACTCTCTTTTCAAAGCCAAACTCAGGAATTAAAACATCAAAAGCAGATTCGTAAACACAGACGACGATACCCTCACTGATAAGTTCACCACCAGCTTCTTCACGCTTTCTATCCATAATCCTACATGACTCGATGTGAACACTCTGTTCTTGAGCATTTTGAGATGAATCCTTCTTTCCGTTGCAAGACTCGGTTGTCTTGACGAGAGTCTCCATATCTTCATTATATTCAATCTTGCCTTCAGAAAGAACAGCTTCAAGTTGACGATGAACGACCAAATCCGCATAGCGACGAGATGGGTTAGTGAAATGAGTGTATAATGGTAAGTTGAGAGCATAATGAGGGTAGAGATGTGGTTGAGTCTTTCCAGCAATGAAATATTTGGCGCGGTGCATGGACTTGACCAATAGAGTTTCCATTCCTTTGCGAATGTCGGTATCATCAACCTTGAAAAGACTGTTTTGAAGACGTCCACTGCTTGAAGTATCGATTTCGTATCCAATTTTGTTCATGCGATCAGCAAATGTTTGAAGACGTCTTGGATTTGGTGGACCTTGTCGACGAAGGAGTGCCTTTTCAGGAAGGCCTTGGTAGATCTTTTGTGCCACATAAGAATTGACCTTGTTCATCAACTCTTCAATCAATTCATGAGATGGAGTAGAATCAAAGATGTTTTGTTCCACTGGAACATTCTCATCATCTAATTGATAAACAAGTCTTAATGGTGCAATAGTCTCTCCATCAGAACCAAGACGAGATTCACGGAATTTTTGAGCAACAGCCTAGATGCGTTAGTACTTTGGTGGGGATTTGATTTGTGCACCGAAAACTTACATTGAGGATTTGAATGTCCTTTACCTCAGCACCCTCGAGTTTTACATCGGTTTGGCCGGAAAGGACAGCATCGACATCCTTGTATGTCAATTTGCCACCACTCTTGATGATACTCTTTCCAATCCAAGTCTCATCCTCAAAAACAGCGCCGGTTTGGGCGTTGACTTTGAATACAACCGAGACGGTGAGACGATCTTGACCTGGTGTCAAAGAGCAGATGTCCGAGGCAATCTTGGGAGGCAACATAGCACAAGATCTGTTCATCAAATAAACAGCAGTTCCACGTTTGCGTGCCTCTCTATCTACAAGAGAGTTTGCCTTGATAAAATGAGCAACATCAGCAATGTGAATACCAATTTCGATCTTTCCATCTGCTTCAGTCTTCACGTGAATGGCATCATCAAGTTCATTGGCACCATTTGGATCAATGGTAAAGGTCTTTTCGCTTCGGAAATCACGTCTAGTGGAGATGGAAGTTTCATCTTCCTTCTCCAAAGACCAATCATCAAGACCCACGCTACGTGTAACAGCGTCTGAAAACTCGTCAGAAGCAAAGTTGTTGTCACGAAGAAGAGCGTCAGTCTCCACCTTCAATTCACCCATCTTACCAAGTTGCTCAACAAGGGTACCGAAAGGATGAAGAGAGGTGATTGGCCATCTCTTAATGCAAGCAACAAAAATACGATCAGCATAATCTT